AAAGCATCGAAAGCATCTCTCAGGTGCAGCCTTTGGTCAATCTTTCTCTCGTACTGTTGCGCCGACCAATTGCTGAATACTGGGCCGCTTTATTGGGTCGTCCCAACCACGGCACACTTCGACAGAGGGACACCCATGCGTTCAAATCTAAGGTATAAGACCTATCTTCTTGCGGCACAAGACCTTGCCCACCTTCACTGGATATCCTATCAACCGTGTTGGTGTCCAATTGCTCCGTGTCTCCCTTTCTCGGGCACTTATATCCTGTTAGCACTGCCCATTGCCTTCTTCCCCTAACTTATTTCCGCTCATGCGTTCAAAGCTATGGTTGAAGGTCAACCATTTCACCTCAAACAATCCTGGCAACCCTTACCTATTATCCTTTCGGCCGCGGTGTTTCCCAGGTATACGGGACCTTATTCGTAGCCTAGCGCACTTTGACAGATGGACGCCCTTACGTACAAAGCTGAGGTATATGACTAATCTTCGTGTCGCACCAGACTTTACCCGCCTTTACTGTATATCCCATTAACTGTGTTGGTTTCTAGCTCACTTTGACAGATGGACGCCCATGCGTACACGGCTGAGGTATAAGATCACTCTTCGTCTCGCACCAGACCTTACCTGCCTTTACTGGCTACTCCATCAGCCGTGTTTGTGTCCCCTTGCTCCGTGTCTCTCTTTCTCGGGCATCTGCCCCCTATCAGAACTGCCCACTGCCTTCTTCCATTACCTTCTTTCCGTCCATGCTTACAAAGCTATGGTTAAAGGTCAACGATTGCACCGCCAATATCTTGCCAACCATTACCTGCTTTCCCTTCGGCCGCGGTATTCCTCAGCAATACGGATTCGTACCCTACCCTTATTGAAGTTGTCCTACTCCTTTCTCCTGCCGATCTACTTCATCGCAAACACAGCCTGGAGTTCAAGCCTTCACAGACGCTTTCGCACCCCGCAACAGCCCAGAGTTCATGCGTTCGCGGACGCTTCCGCGCCCCCCTCCCCTTCCATCCGCCAATTCCTATATGGTTTAACATGTGCTTGGGTCGGCCCTCAAAACGGCTCATTACTTCAGAGGCATCCGCGTTCCTCCTTCTAGCGATTGTCTTTGACTAACTGACCTAATCACCATTAATCGACTATCCAACCTCTTCGACGCCTCCCTTTCTCGGGCACTTATACTTCATGCCTGCTATCAGATAACCTTTCTCGTTGCCTATTGCGCCGGCCAATTGCTATATGGTGGGACGCGTTCTTGGGTTAACCGTTACAAGGCACAATTGGACAAACAGACGCCCATGCGTACAAAGATAAGGTTTAAGACAAAACTTCATACCCCACCAGACTTAACCCAGCCTTACTGGATATCCCATTGACCATTTCCCAGTCCGTTTGCGCCATGCCCCCTTCTACGGGCATCTATCCATCTATTAACACTGCTCGCAAGCCCCTTTTACTTACTGCTTTCCGTCCATGCGTAAAACGCCAGGGTTAATGTCAATCTTTTTTCCGCAAAAAACCTTGCCCGCCTTGACTGGGTAACCCGTTCCCCGCGTTGGTTTCCCGTAACACTCCACCATAGGCAAGCCTTATTACAGGTGTCCGGTTCATTCTCTTAGTGGTTGGTTTCTTCACGAAATCAGCTCGGAGTTAAAACCGTCATGGACGCTGTGCCGCACGCACTCGCCCAGCTTGACTGCTTTGCAGTTGAACGCGTCCTTGGTTCGGCTCTCAAAAGGCACACTCCTAAGGAAGGGAGATAAGGCATGGTCTCCGACGTTCCCTACGTGCGTTCGCATCTACGGATTACCCGTTCCCGCAATTCCACGTTCATTCTACGGGTTGATGGGGTAGAATACCCAATAGCTAAACCTTTCCTCCGCTTGCTGGCGGCCAACATGCTTGCCTTTCACGGGTTCCTACCTGCTACGAGCGCTATCTGCCGTCCCATTTCACTTGCTCTTCTCCCTTCATATGTACAACGCCAGGGTTAGACGGCTACCTTTCTACCGCAACAAACCTTTGCCCACCCTTGCTTGGTTACCCCTCCATCGTGCTGCCTTTCCCCTTACACTTGAC